AAGATTCGCTACTCTAAATTTCCTTCAAGATCAGACTTATTTTTAAAGAGAGAGAAGAACGAACATTGTGTCGGGGCAAACTTTATTATATTAATTTCCAATTGCAGTTGCGACGAAAATTGCTTATGGTGTGCAATTTCGTTTCCAATCTACTCGTTACACAGTAACAGTAAATCGTGAAGTGATACTGTCAGCGGGCGCGATACAATCGCCGCAACTGTTGATGTTGTCTGGTATCGGACCAAAAGATCATTTGAAGGAACTAAATATTCCGGTGGTTCACGATGCCCCGGGTGTGGGGAGAAATCTTCAGGATCACGTGATCTTTACTGGACTCAGTTTTAACACGTCTACGCCGGAAAATTATACAGGGTCAAAGCCTTTCTCATTCGATCTAGCAAATAGTCTTAATGAACACAGTTTAACAGAATTCGCCGTGAATCATAATGGACCAATGTACAATACCCCAAACTCTGAGGGTTTAGGTTTTATTACTACCAAGTTAGTCCGTGTTCGTAATTTGTTAGTTAGTATGCAGTTTTGATGATTTGCTGCATGACTTCCAAGTTTTTGAAATCTACATTATTCCATTTGAATAAAATTCGTTCATTTCAGATATGCAAACGAATCCGGAGATAATCCTGACATAGAGTTATTGTTAGGGAGTCTGGGTAATGCCTCCCAACGTAACGCCCCAATAAAAACTGCTGCTTATACTGTCATGCCACTATTATTAAGACCACGGAGTAGGGGATACATCAAACTCAATGTAACGAAACCTGAAGGACACCCGATCATAGTTCCCAACTATTTCCAAGATCCGCACGATCTCGACGTTTTGGTATCGAAATTCAAGCATGTCCTTAAGTAATACGTGATACATGATACAAATATGTTTGGAATTTAATTTCAGGCCGAAGGTGCACAATTCATCTACGAAATGACTAAAACACCGACGTTGAAGTCTTTAAACGTTCAACCGAACGTAGATAAAATTCCTGGGTGTTCGTCGGCCAAATATCTATCAATGAATTATTGGCGTTGTTTAGCCCGATATAACACCCAGACGATGTACCATCCAGTTGGAACGTGTAAAATGGGACGAGCTAGCGATCGAATGGCAG